GTCCAGATCCCGCCCTCCTGGCGCTCGCCTGGGGTGGACAGACAGATCCCGCCCTCCTGGGGCTCACCTGGGGTGTCCAGATCCCGCCCTCCTGGTGCTCGCCTGGGGCGGACAGACAGATCCCGCCCTCCTGGAGCTCGCCTGGGGTGTCCAGATCCCGCCGTCCTGGGGCTCGCCTGGGCTGGACAGACAGATCCCGCCCCCCTGGAGCTCACCTGGGGTGGACAGACAGATCCCGCCCTCCTGGAGCTCGCCTGGGGTGTCCAGATCCCGCTGTCCTGGGACTCCTAGCAGGGTCAGGTGGTGCTCAGGACCCGAAGGAAAAATAAACAGGGTCCGGTCAGAGGTGGAGGGCTTTCTGAGAAGGCAGCGTTGGCGCCGGGGCCCTGGATGAGTTGAGAGACTCGGCCATGTGGATCTCTACATCCTCCATCTCTCCCCACAGCAGCCCCAGACCCCCCTTCCTCCTCCTGTCCCCAGCGGAACATTCTGGGTGTGTAGTGGGAGGAGTTGAGCAAGTTCAGAGAATATCCTGGAGACCCGTGTGGATGGAGAGGTGCAAACAAGGGAGACAGCTGGTTGTGAGTGGCCTCAGTAGCCACAGGGAGGCTCTGGGACTCGTTCTCCGTGTGGTGGCGGGCGCTTTGCAGAGACGTGGCAAGCGCTGGCTTAGGGTTCAGGAGGCCCCCCTGGCTGCCCCACAGAGGATGCCGCGAGGGGCAGCACAAGTGAGGTGTTCTGGGAAGTGCAGTTTTTATAGAAAGATCTAGAAAGCAGGTGGAGCTTGGGCAGGTCTCCACGACTTACCTTTTCTTCCACCCTGAGGTCCCCAGACCGCGGTGGTGCTGTGGAGAGGGCTGGAGAGTCAGGGAAGGTCAAGGTGAGGAGAGAAGAAGGGGTGAGGGGTATGTCCCAAGAGCTTGGGGTCCTGACAGGCTGCTGTGGACAGATGTAGCGGCTGGGTCAGGAGCGGATCTCGAGGGCAGAAGGTGGGCGAGGCAGAGGATTCTGGCCAGCTTGGGGGAAAGGGCCTCTCTGCCAGAAATGCTCAGACCAGGCCGCGGTCATGCTCATTGCCCAGCAGGTCAGGAAGCTGTCCCTCCAGAACTGAAAACCAAACCCATTGCCATCAAGTCGATTCCAACCCACAGCGATCCGTGTGTTATAGACTAGAACTGCCCCATGGGGTTTTTTCGGCTGTAATCTTTACTGCAGCAGATCACCAGGCCTTTCTTCTGCAGTACCACTGGGTGGGTTTGAACTGCCAACCATTAGGTTAGTAGCGGAGAGCGAACCATTGGCGCCACCCAGCCATCCCTCAGGTGGGGGTTGTGACCGTCCTTAGTCCGCAGGATGGAGGTGAGGTTAACAAGGTTTCTGTAAAGCACTTCGCCCGGGGCCCGGCCTGGTGTGAATTCATTCCATCACTGGTTGACCCTGCGGGCCTGCCTCCAGGGTGGTGTGACCAGGGCACGTTGCCTGAACATCCTGAACCTCTCATTTGTGAAAAGGGGGTCTGAAGACCTCCCTCAGAGACTTGTAATGAGGTGGGAGCAAGCTGAGTCCCAGCCAGCACCAGGCCCAGTGTCTGGCATACAGTAGGCGCACAAGAAATGAAGCTGTGACGTTGTTGTAGACGGTAAGCGCTGAGCCCCTCATGGAAGGGAGAGAGGAGGAGAGATGACGTCTCTGTGCCTGTCAATACTTTAAGATGTTACAGTGTTTTACACATAGGTCACCCTGACCATTGCCCGGTGTAGGGGTGCTATTACCCCCAGTTTACAGGCGGGAGCACTGAGGCCCAGGCTGGGTGCAGGACGTCCTGAGGTGGCAGAATGGGAGCGCACCCACGTTCTCCTGCCTCCAGGGGCTGTTTGCCTATGGTAAACTGTCTCTTTGCCGTGGGGGTGTCTGGGAAAGGGGGGGGGTGACGGAAGGCTGATTAGAAGCTTCCATGGACCCCACATCGGCCTTGCTCACTTACTGTCCTCCATCCAGCCCCAGGGAGAAGGCCCCCAAAGATAAGCCCAGCCAGCCAGCCCTCAAGCAGCCCCGCCAGGGTCCCACCAATGAGGCGCAAATGGCGGCCGCTGCGGCCCTGGCCCGGCTCGAGCAGAAGCAGCCCCGGGGCCGGGGCCCGGTGTCACAGGACTCCATCCGGAGCCAGGGTGAGCAGTTTACAGGTCCCTGGCCGCGTGCTGGGCTCTGAGTGAAAACAGTGACCGGATGGATGACTCTGGATGGGGTGGGGGGTGGGTCATAAAGTCCCAGCCGTGAGAGTGTGACGGGCACGTGCAGGGTGAAAAGTAGGATGGGGGCCGGATCTGGGTGGGGGATTGGGTGACAGGGAGCTTCCACTAGGAGGGGAGGTGGAAGCTGAGACTAGGGGGAAGGACAGCAGGTGGTCAGCAAAGGCGGGGGGAGGTCAGGGCCTGGGGCGGGGGCAGGCCTTGTGCTTATGCCAAGCATGTGGGTGGGGTCTCTGGGGGGGCAGGGTCCCCACGCGGTCCCATGTCTCCCTTCCCTCCTGTCCCGTTTCCCCTTCCAGTGAGAAAGGAACTCGCAGCGGAAGCCACCGTCAGTGGGAGCCCGGAGTCCCCAGGGACACATGTGGTAAAAGCCTGGGCGTGGCCTGGGGTGGAGCTTGGGCCCCTGTAGAGGGAGCACCCAGATTCTCCCGTGCACCGGTCTCGTTGACCATTTCCTTGCCACCAGGGCATGCTGAGAGCACCTGGTGTGTGGGGGTGGGGGGAGGGGGGACGCGGAAGAGACCTCACAGTCACCCCTGCCCTTGGAGCTCCAAGGGGGCTGGGGAAACCCCACCTTGAACAGTTGTCACCTAGGGCCGTCAGGGCTCAGCATCCAGTGATGCCCGGCTTGGGTTCCTCCCCTTGCCCCCAGGACTGTGGGTGCTGTTAGAACCTCTGCTTTTCAGAAGACAAAACTGAGGTTCAGAGAAGTGAAGGCAGCTGTTCTCGGCAGGGCCAGGACTGGAGCCCCAGTCTGCCTGACCTCAAAGCCGGTCCCCTCAGCACTGCCTTCTGCTGCCTTTCTTACTCTGAGGCAGGAGACTCAGTAGAGATGGGTGTAATCAGGGAGGCCTTCTTGTAGGAGGTGGGCTTCAAAGGGGAGAGAGGCAGAAGGGGGTTCCAAGCAGTTTGGCTAGTGAGGACTCACTGCACTTTAGAACAGATGAGACCCTAGAGATTGTGGCCCCGGGAGCGGCCGGGACGCCCATGAGTCCTGCCTCCCTGCCCAGGAGCAGCAGGAGGAGGCTGTGCGTGTTGGGTGCTCACTCAGTGTCGGAAGCTGCTAAGTGCTGTGTGTTCCCGATCTCCTTTAATCTGGAGGCATCTGTGCAGACATTCTCCAGACTAGAAAACCAACGAGTTTGGGGGGCTTCAGTTGTTGGGCTGAGGTGCCCTATGGCTAATCGGTGGTGTAGGCAGGGTTGGGATCAGGGAGGTCTGGCTCTGAAGCCTTACACCTGGACACCATTGCCCCCAGGTCCCTGAGCCCAGAGAGGAAGGCTCGGCCCACCTGGCAGTGCCCGGAGTGTACTTCACTTGCCCACTCACAGGGGCCACCCTGAGGAAGGACCAGCGGGATGCCCACATCAAGGAGGCCATTCTCTTGGTGAGCAGCACCCCATGTCCCCCCACCCACACCCCCAGGAAGCCAGGTTGGTATAAGCCCTTCATAAAGTCCTACAACTGTTTTTTTAATCATATTTATTTTTTTTGTTTATTTCTGTTTCTGTTTTAATCCCTTTAAAGAGGTAATGCTTATGTGTGGTGCAGAATTGAAAAGGTATAGAAGGGCCGGTGGAGAAAAGCCGCCACCTGCTTCTCTCTCAGCCACGCCCTTTTCAGAGCTATTCCAAATACAGGTGGTCCCTGACTTACAATGGGGTTCTGTTCCTACGACTCCACTGTAAATCAGTTCTGATGTAAGCCGAATACTGTTATTGTTATTTTTTTTTAGTTTTCATTATTATTGCCTTTATTATCTTTATAAATCTGGCAGTGTTTTGAACAGTAAATCATAAAGTTGAACATCTTCGAGTGAACATCTGAGAATGATAACATCAGCAAATTATGCGCTGCAACATACCACTAACGATAAGATGTATTTAAAAAAACGACATTCGTACATGGTTCATCATAAGTTGAGTACGTCGTTAAGTCACGGACTACCTGTATGTGCAAACTGTCGATGTACTTGTATCTTTCTCTTGCTTGGTTTTGTTTTACGTAAAAGGTTAAATACTGTTTGTTCATAGCTAAGATACCAACATAGAGGTATTAGTTCAAAGATAACTTCCATGTTATTTTTTTTCCTTGTAAGCCTTCGTCTGGAAATAATTTCAAACTTAAAGTAGAGTTCTGAGAGTAGTACAAAGAACATCGGATGCCTTTTACCCAGAGTATGAGTTTCTGATTCCTGCTGTAACGTGTGACTGCAAGCATAGTGGCTTAAAACAACACTAAAATGACCTTACAGTTCTGAGGATCAGACATACGAAATGAGTTGCGAAATCCGGCCGTGCACAGGGTTGCACTCCTCCTGGAAGCTCTAGGGGAGAATGTGGGCAGGGCTGAATTCCTCCTAGAGAATCCATTTCCCGGCCTTTTGCAGCTTCTAGAGGCCCCTTCTTCCATCTTCAAAGCCTTATCGGCCGAGTCCTGATCCTTCTTAAGTCGCCATCTCTCTGGTTCCGTCTTCTGCCTCCTTCTTCCCCTTTTAAGGACCCCCATGATTACATAGAGGAGCCCTGGTGGCGCAGTGGTGAAGTGCTCGGCTGCTAACCCAAAAGATTCAGGTGTTTGAACCCACCAGCAGCTTGGCAGGAGAAAATCCTGGTGATCTGCTCTTGTAAAGATTACAGCCTCGGAACCCCTGCAGGGCAGTTCTGCTGTGTCCTGTAGGGTCGCCATGAGTCGGAATAGATTTGAGAGCAACGGGGGTTTTTGGTTTGGTGATTACACTGGCCCCGCCCAGATAATCCAGGATGATCTGTGTTAGGGCCGGTTGATTAGCAACCTTAGCTCCCCCTTGCCATGGAAGATAACCTGTTCATAGGTTCCGGGGATTAGGGTGTGGACATGTTTTTTGGGGGGCAGTTACGTTGCCGACCACACCCAGCTTCCCCAGGTGCTAACCTTTTTGCCCCACTTGCTTTATCACCATCTCTGTTCTCTCTCCTGAGCCGCTGGAGAGAAAGTCCCACGTTGTCTTTGGCAGTCTCACAGTGCTGCACTCTAAGTCGTTGGGTAACTTGTTTAAGCAGCGCCTCTAGGGACCAGGGCTGTCTTGCTCTAGGGGCCACGCACGTAGATAGTTTCCAGTCTTTTGCAAGTAAGAACAGTTACGCGGTGAAAAGCCTCGTCTCTGCATCACTTGGCACTGGAGGCTCACTTGCAGAAGTGGAGCTGTTAGGACAGAGGATACACACGGTTCTGATTTGGATGATTGTAACCCATTATCACAGGAGCCCTGGTGGCACAGTGGTTAAGCACTCATCTGCTAACCCAGAAAGGTCGGCTCTTTGAACCCACAGGCCGTTCTGCTGGAGAAAGACGTGGCAGCCTCCTTCCGTAAAGATTAGTCTAGGAAACCCTAAGGGGCAGTTCTACTCTGTCCCATAGTGTCGCTGTGAGTCAGAATCGACTTGACAGCAACAGGTTTAACCAGTGATCCTCTGGAGGGGTCTCCCAATTCATGCTCCCACCAGCACCTTGTGAGAAAGTACCCATTTCCCTGGCCTCTCATCATCCACTGTGGGTTATCAAATGCTTTATCTTTAACCTAGTTAGTAGGTCAGAATAGCATCTCAGGAAAGTTTTCATTTTGGGTTAGGTTGACCATGTTTCCACATAAGAAGGTATGCTTTGCCCATCCTTCTACTGGGTGATTGGTCTTTTTCTTGGTGATTTATAGATGCTCTTTATATATTAAGGCAAATAGCCTTTTGTATGTGAGAAGAGTCGCAAATACTTTACCCCAGTTCTTTTTTTTTAATTGTGTTTTAGGGAAAAGTTTACAGAGCAAATTAGTTTCCCATTAAACAGTTAATACACAAATTGTTTTGTGGCATCAGGTGCCAACCTGCTACCTGTCAACACTTTCCCTTCTCTACCTCCCCACGTATTTTTTGATTCTGCTTTTGGTCACTTTGCCATGTAGGAAATTTTTATCTTGTCATTGAATCTGCCAGTCTTATGGCTTCTGGGTTTTGCATCATATTTAGACAGTCCTTCCCTTAAAGTAAATCTCCCGTGGTTTCTGCTACTACTTTTCTGTTTTGTTTGTTGTGTTTTAATATTTAAAGCTTCGATACAGCCACAGTTCATTCCAGTGTTAAGTATGAGATAAGAATCTCATGTTATTTTTTTCCAGATTGCTACCCAGTTTTCTCCCCAACTCCGTGTATTGAAAACACTTGTCTTCTCTCCCTTAATCACAATGTAGTAAACCCCGATACGGCTTCAGGTCCCTTCCTGGACTTCTCTTCCTTTGCCCCTTGTCTGTTTGCATGCCTGTTCATTTAAACGTGACTGCAGCTCGCCTAGCAGCCTCTGAGAGCCTTGTTTGGAGCCGCAGCTCTTCCCTCAGGGGGTGCCCATCCCCGGGGGCTGAGTCTGGAGGAAGCTCTGGCGGGGGGCGGGGGCGGTTATCTGAGCCTGGCCTGGGCTGTGTCCTGAGGGTGCTCTTCTGTCTCGCTGCCCTCCTCTGCCTCTTTCCTCCTCTCTCTGCATGTGTGCCCCTCTCTGCCCCCACCACTCAACTGGCAGGCTGGCTGGGTCCCACTTTGAAGCTGGCAGGAGAGCTGACTCAGTTTGGTGCCACCATGGCTGCTGGAGGCTCACCTGTGCACTTGAGGGCAAAGGGCTTGGGGGGGTGGAGGCCCCAGCCCTGCCCCCGGGAGCTCTGAGCCTGCCCGTGCCAGGCCTGGGGTCAGCATCCAAGACTGCCAGGTCACCTGCATCCTGCTGTGTCTCACAGGTGAGGAATCTACTTAGCCAAGCAGTGCTGGTGAATTCAGGCCCCCAGCCAATGCGGGGCTGCCCTGCCCACCGCATGGCCCGGGACTCTAGGGCTGCAGAGACGCGTGGGGGCAGCCGGGACGGCTGTCCTGTGCGTGAACAGCTTTGTCTCCCTGGGGATGCACTGGTAGTCCACAGGGCGCTCACTGGGTGGGTTGCCAGCTGGAAGAGAGGCCAGGTGCTGTGCGATCCCGGGGTACCAGCTGTGGCTCCCCCCCTCTCCTTCCTGGAGGCAGGTGGGATGCTGGGGAGAGGGGCCGTGAGGAGTACGTCAGGCATCAGCATCGATACTTCAGTCCTTCCGCCACCCCCGCGCCCACGGAGGGGTCCCAGGCCTCAGTTGCGTCCTGTCCCTGCCGCCTGTCATTCCTGTGACCCTGGGTGAGGTACCTGACATCTCTCGGCCTGTTTCTTCATCTGAAAACCGGGAATTGGGACAGAATGACGTGCAGGGCCGGGGCGGGGCCAGAGGGTCGGTGGGCCGTGTGGCCCGGGCTCCAGGTGCGGTAAATGCCGAGTGAAGTTGTAAAGCCAGAGCACAAGGCAGGGAGTGGTAGAGTCAGACCCGCCCTTGGTCCTGGGAAGGCCGTTCTCCTCTTCCCTTCTGGCTGTCCCCTGGCCCCTGGAGGAGGGAACGGCTGTGGACGGAGGCCAGAAGGACTTGCTCCTGTTCACACCGAGATGGCTTCTGTTAAGGGCTGCTGCTCTGCCGTGAGGGGCCTCCAGATGGTCATTACTATGGTTACTCTCATCTGAGTGATGAGGGGACAGGCTGCCTGGGCAGCTTGGCCTCTGGCTACTAGGGGTTGTTTTCTTTTTCTTTTTTTGTATTACTGTTTTCATTTTCTGTATATTTTAAATAGCGTTTTACCAATTGCTGTGGGTTTTCAATGGCAGATTTTTCAGAAGTAGATCTCCAGGGCTTTCTTCTGAGACACCCCTGGGTAGACTTCAAGCCTCCAATGTTGATGACATTTAACCGTTTGTACACCCAGGGGCTCCTGGGGCTTGGTTTCCAGTGGCTCCTTCCCTCCCTCCCTCCCCAGCACTTCTCCACGGACCCGGTGGCCGCCTCCATCATGAAGATCCACACGTTCAACAGAGACCGGGACCGGGTGAAGCTGGGCGTGGACACCATCGCCAAGTGAGCGGGGGTCCTCCCTGAGCCCCGCTGTGCGGCATTGCACCTTGACCTGCCGAGGCCGACCTCGGAAAGGGCACTGGGCTGGGATTATGGCTCTCAGGAAGCAGCCTTTGCCCCCTGGGCCTCAGTTTACCCATCTGTGATGAAAAAAGGGGGTGTACCAAATCAGGGGTTCCCACTTTAGGCTTCACTTCAGGATCATCAAAGGAATGACTGTGTGGAGGAGGCAGGGTGGAGACCCCACCCTGTGTGGGATTGAGCACATCTGGGAAGTCCCCCAGGCGATTACCCTGCAGGCACCTCCCTGGCTTGGGGGGCCCCTCTCAGCTCGTGGTCAGCTGTTCGGGCTCTGTCCCCCCCGCCATGGTTACTTGGGGTGCTCAGGTGTCTAGGTCTCCATTCTGGGGGCAGGACTGAGGCAGAGTGAGCACCAGAGGCCCGCTCCTCCCTGGGCTCCAGAGGGTGAGTTCCACCAGGTCATGTGGCACCATCTCCCCTGAGGACGAGGTGGGGTGCGGCTGAGTGCTGTCCCGTCCCCCCGACCCCCACAGGTACCTGGATAACATCCACCTGCACCCCGAGGAGGAGAAGTACCAGAAGATCAAGCTGCAGAACAAAGTATTCCAGGTGAGGGCTGCTGTCTGCCGGGGCGGGCGGAGCACAGTGCCGCAGATGGGCTTAAAACAGCTCACACTCAGCCTCAGTCCTGGAGGCCAGCGGGTGTGGGCCGGGCCAGGCTCTCCCCGAAGGCTCTAGGGGAGGATGCTGCCTGGTCTCTTCCAGCTTCCGGGGCCCCAGGTGTATCTTGGCCTGTGGCCACCTTACTCCGTCTCCGCCTGCGCCTGCTCATGGCATATGCCCTCTGTGGTCTCCGTCCACATCTCTCGCTTAGAAGGACACCACCCGACTCCAGTGTGACCTCGTGTGAACTGACACCATCCGCAGAGACCCCATTTCCAAACAAGGCCCCCCTGGCAGGCCCCGGGGGTCAGGCCCCAGTGGCCCCCGAGCAGGCTGCCTTCCCTAGGTGCATGCAGCCCTCTGCGGTGTCGTGCCTCCTGCTGGTGCACCGCGATGCTCAGCTATTGTTGTTATGTCCGGTCAGCTCCGACTCCTGGCGACCCCATGTGTGCAGAGTAGACAGTGCCCCATAGGATTCTCAAGGCTGTGACCTTTCGGAAGCAGATCGTCAGGCCCTTCTTTTGAGGCGCCTCGGGGTGGGTTCAAACTGCCAACCTTTCAGCTCGTAGTCGAGCGCTTAGCTGTTTGCGCCACCAGGGACGCCATCCTTGCAGTGTGTCGTGTCTTGTCTTCAGCTTGAATGTGTGGGGAACATGTCGACACGGGGGGCGGGGGGGTTCATTCAAATGCAGACTTCGGCTTCTTTTGAGAGGTCGTGGGCTCTAGCCTGACCTGCACTCCTCCTGGGACGGGTGTCAGACGCTGACCGTCGATCCTGCGTGGCCCCGTCCCCATGGCAGCACACCCCCTGCAGCCCATGTTCCTCGTTTTGGGGACCTTCATTCCTGACTGCGGGTTCTTGACCGCTTGGGGTCCAACACCCCTGGGAGGAGCCGCCGAAAGCCACAGCCTTTCCTTAGAAGCGTGTGTCTGTGCTCAGCTCTACAGATGGCGTCTAGGCTTCGCCCCCAATCCAAAGAGTGCGAGTCTGGGTTGTGGGGTGCGACCAGGGCAGAGGTGGGCAGGGGGACATGGAGCTCATGGAGACCCCGGTCCCGCCTGATCCCTGGCTCCACCCCCAGGAGCGCATTCACTGCCTGGAAGGGACCCACGAGTTCTTTGAGGCCATCGGGTTCCAGAAGGTGCTGCTTCCAGTTCCCGACCAGGGTAAGGGGCGACCGAGGGCCCAGCCGGATGGTGGCGGGGCGGTGGGGAGGGCGTCTCCCTGCTGTGACGGGGACTGAGTGGTTGTAGCGCCCGTGCCGTGCCACAGAGGACCCTGAGGAGTTCTACGTGCTGGGCGAGGCGGCCCGGGCGCAGCCGCAAAACCTGGAGAGGCACAAGGAGCAGCTGCTGGGCGCGGAGCCTTTGCGGGCCAGGCTGGACCGCCAGCGCCGCGTCTTCCGGCCCTCGCCCCTGGCCGCCCAGTTCGACCTGCCCGGGGACTTCTTCACCCTGACGGCAGAGGAGATCCGGCGGGAGCAGAGGCTGAGGTGGGCAGGGGCCCCCGCCGGGCAGAGGGCTGGGGCGCGACCCCGGCCCCGCTGAGCAGCTCTCGGGACCCCCCACCCCCACCGCAGGGCCGACGCGGTGGAGCGGCTGAGCGTGCTGCGGACCAAGGCCATGCGGGAGAAGGAGGAGCAGCGTGAGATGCGCAAGTACACGTACACGCTGCTGCGCGTGCGCCTGCCTGACGGCTGCCTGCTGCAGGGTGGGCGCAGCCCCGGCGCGGGGTGGGCGTGACTCTGGGCGGGGTACTGCCGCCGCCACCCCGTCCCTGACCGCTCTCTTGCCCCACGCTGCCCCCAGGGACCTTCTACGCCCGGGAGCGGCTGTCTGCGCTCTACGGCTTCGTCAGGGAGGCCCTGCAGAACGACTGGCTGCCGTTTGAGCTGCTGGTCTCGGGTGGGCAGAGGCTGTTGGAGGATGAGAACCTGGCCTTCAACGAGTGCGGGCTGGTGAGCTGGGCGGGCCGTTGAGCTGGGTGGGCCGGTGAGCTCGGCGGGCTGGTGAGCTCCGTGGGCCGTCTCCGCGGGGCTCGCCGACACGCCTAGCGGGGTGGGGTGGTCACTCCTCAGTGTCGGATGGTGCTGGGGGCCCCCAGCCCCGGGTTTAAACCCCATCTCTGCACTTAGTCACAGTGGGATGCTGAGTGAGTTCCTAACTTCTCCGTGCCTCGTTCCCATCTGTAAAATGGGGACAGTGGGAAGCGTTAGTTAACACCCTCTGGGAAGCAGAGTCAGGATGGGATGACAAACGCAGATTGGTGCGACTTGCAGGAGGCCGCCAGGGGAGGAGGCCGGGAAGGAAGGGAGGGGGACTGGGCAGGGCTCTGAGGGCTTGGGAGTGGGGTGCTGTCCTGGGCTCCTAGAGTTTGGGTAGGGGAGCGGGGTGCTGTCCTGGGCTCCGAAGGCTTGGGTGGGGGAGCGAGGTGCTGTCCTGGGTTCTGAGGGTTTGGGTGGGGGAGCGGGGTGCTGTGACTGGGCTCCGAGGGTTTGGGTGGGGGAGTGGGGTGCTGTCCTGGGCTCTGAGGGTTTGGGTAGGGGAGCGGGGTGCTGTGGCTGGGCTCCAAGGGTTTGGGTGGGGGAGCGGGGTGCTGTCGCTGATAGGGAGTAGCCCGGGCGCTGGGACCAGGAACGAGGTCCAGCTGTGACCTCTGCCACACAAAGGCCAGAGGTGAGGCCACACATCTCCCACTGCAGGTGCCCTCAGCTCTCCTGACTTTCTCGTGGGACCCAGCCGTGCTTCAGGATATGAAGGCTGCAGGCGCCGAGCCAGACAGGAGTGTGCTGAAGCCCGAGCTCCTGTCGGTCATTGAGAATCTCTCATGAAATAAAGCAGGGTTGGCTCAGCCCGGCGTCCACCTCGTGCTCGATCTCCTGCCCTTCCCGCCCCCACCCCCAGGGCCTTCCCCCCTCCTCCAGGGGGCACAGCGAGGGGGGCTGTTAATTGCTGGATGAAAGAACGGGGGACTTAGGCTTTGCCGCAGAGACCTGGGGAGGCTACCCTCCTTGGTGGCGTTTGACTTCAGCGTCCTCATGGCTGTTAACGTGCTAACAATGGCAGACCAGGCTGACGGCTGTGGGCCCTCCCCAGGCTGGGGGCCCTTGGTGCCGCAGCTGTGGAGGGTGCTGAGGGTGCTGCTGACGGCAGGGGAGGGAGACACGGCCACCAGTGTACAGATCTGTAATTAAGTCCTTAACTACGATAAGGAATAAACAGGATATTTGAACAGTTTCCTGGTGGTTAATTCAGAGGAACATGTGGCGTGTGAAGTGGACAGCCAACCAAGCCTGGGTGGCTCCTTGAGGGCGGACACCTGCTCTCCGTGTGAGGTCTTGGCTTCCAGGAGCCCCATGTGGACTTCTCATTTCATGTCTCTCCTTGGGTGACCTGTGGCATCAGTTCTTGCCCCTGGGTGCGGGGCTCCCAGAAACCAGGAGCCTCCCACCAGCCCTGGGGCAAGTGCTCACTTGCTTTCTCACCGTGCTTGGCAGAGTGATGGCCCTGTCCTAACTCCCTGGCCCTGAGAATGTGGCAACTCACAGGCAAAAGGGCTTCGCAGATGGATGAAGGGAAGGATCCTGGATCAGCTGGTGGGTCCAGTGTAATCAGAGTCCTTACAAGAGGGAGGTTGGAAGAGCAGAGATATGGGAAGACGCTGAGCTGCTGGCTTTGAAGATGGAGGGGGCCCTGAACCAAGGAATGTGGGCAGCTTCTAGAAGCCAGAAGGGAACAAATTCTCCCCTAGAGCTCCCAGAAGGAATGGGGTTGGGGCAGGCTGACTAGCCAGGCCCGGGCCTTGTGCCCTGCAACTGGGGGACCTCTCGGGGAAAACCGGGGTGGTATGACCAGAAATGAAATCTGTGGGCAGGGTACCAGTGTTTCTGCCTCTGCTGTACCCACAGGGAATGCTCGTGTCTGCGGGATCAACAACACTATCCTGTAGGCCGAGAAACCAGCTGGCTGGGCCTCCTCAGAGGAACAGGAAGAAACAGTTCATTACAAGGGGAGGGAAGAATAGACACACACGGTCAGGAATGGAGCCCCAACCCCACCCCCCTCAGGCCTTTGCTGGGCTGTCCCAGCCCAGAAGGGGTAAGTCATGAGCACCCCTGGACCAGGCTGAGGCCTCACTCCCTCCAGGAGGTCTTGTGGCTCGCTTTTACACTCCCCTCGCTTTCAGTGATAAGGGCATGGTGGTTCGCTCGTAGACCTCTCGCCCTCCACTCGGGAGACCTGGGTGTGACTCCTGGCCAATGCACCTCACACGCAGCCACTGCCTGTCTGTCCCTGGAGGCTTAGCGCGCTGTGTTGCTAGGATGCCGAAGGTTTCAGCGGGGCTTCCAGACTAAGCTGGACTAGGAGGAAGGGCCTGGTGATCAACTTCTGAAAATCAGCCAGTGAAAACCCCATGGATCACAATGGTCTGATCTGCAGTTGATCATGGGGATGGTGCAGGCCTGGGCAGCGTTTCGTTGTGTGTGGGGTCACCGAGTCCGAGACTGACTCGACAGCAGCTGATGTGCTCCACGCAGGAGGCTGCTCTCATCCAGCCTCATGGACTGGAAGCCAGAGTTGAGGTCCTGGCAGCTCTCAGTGGAGGAACTGCACTCGAGAACTCTTCCGGGAACACCGCTCTGGCTTCCCGGGAGCAGGCGGGACTGGCCAGCGGTGCCCAGAAACCCCTGCCGTGAACTCGGGCAGTCTGGGTGGGACCGCAAGGGTTTAAAGACAGAAGGTGGAACAGCGTGCTGGGAAGGTGTAAAGCTATGCAGACGCTTCAGCTCCAGGCACAGAGGCTGGAGAGGCAGATAACCCCCTCCTAACCAAGGCCTGGGACAGGTGACAGCACAGCCCTCAGACATGACGCTTTTTAAAAAAATGGAAACAGACCAGGTCAGGGCTAGAGAATAAGTTTATACACATCCCCCCTTGTGACGCCCAGGCACCCACATCATACATGCCAGCCGGGGTGCCCACCTGCGGGTTCCAATTCATTTACAAGCATCTGACCCCAGCCCCTGACACAGGGCCGCAGCCACGCAGGTGCCCAGGTTTGGAGCCACACTGCAGTAATGCTTTATTAAAGAGGGCAGGTTAATAGACAAGTTTTGGGGAAATTTTTACAAATATCAAAAAGAACTAGTCAAATATCCTATATAAACTTTCCAGCCCTCCGGGGAGGTCTGCCAAGCGGACAAAGTGCTCTTTCCACGAGTCGGCAGTACTTTCAAGTATCCGATGCACAGCTGAGGACGCACCAGACGGTGGCCGTGGGCGCTCAGGACAGGAGGAGCGCGCTCACAGGCAGCGGGCCCTCGCAGGTGTCCACTCCCACTGACCCCGCGGCTCCCGAGGAGGTGCCACATGGGGTCTGGGCCTCTGGAAGGCAAGACAGGGTGTCTTAGCTGGCAGTGCCCCCCATGCCCCCTGATGAGGGGCTGCCATGCTCCTGTGTCACCAGGGCCTGAAGCAGCTCAGGCCCTCTAGGACGGGCCATGAGCCAACAGTGCGGGGCAGAGGAGGGCACAGCTGCTCCCAAGATGCATCCCTTCCAAGCAGCGGGCTCCCTGCCAACCCTTAGTCACATGCTGTTCCCTCCTCAGCTCAGGACCCTCGCATGGCTTGGAGTAAAGCCTAGTCTTGGCCTCCACAGCCGACAGGACGGGTCCCTCACCTCCTGCCTCAGCCCCGCCCCTGCCCCCACCTGCACCAGGCCCACATGATCTTCTAACTGAAGTCCCGTTGTTACAAGAGAGTCAGAGCAGCAGGCTCTTCCTTCTGGAACACGCCCCGAGTTCTGGGCCCCTTCTCACCCCCAATGTCCGGGATGTCCACCATCACATAGTCGCTCTCCTCCTCCTCTTCCTCCTCCGTGTCCGCCTGGAAGCCATCCACGTCCTCAGCTCCAACCTGAACAGAGGAGGGGGCGTGGCTGTCAGCGGCAACAGGGGCTCCTGGGGTGTGACCCCCACGTACCCAGTCCACTAAATCACCAAACGTGCTCACAGTTTCCCCATATCCTCCACCCATCTGGGCAGCACATTCTTCATGGTGGAGGAGTCCGCCTGCTAACCTTCTGGCAGAGGAAAGTCTTTGGAATTCATTTAATTCCCTAAATGAATTAAATTCAGATCTCCCAACACCACCACCATCCTTTGACCTTATTAGAAAACAGCGTCTGACTAAAGAAACCCTGGCGTCTGGTTTGGTTTGGAAGTGAAGCGGGCGGTGCTCGTGTTTTCTCTGAACTCATGATGTGAGGCCCCAGCTGAGGACTCAGTGAGCCAGCAGTTCTCCGCCCATCTCTCACAGCTTAAATCTCTCGGCCCCGTGCTTCACGCTTTCTCTTACTTATGCTCGGGCCAGGTGTGCCAGTGAGAACAGCACTCTGACCACTGTGGATGGAGGTCAGGGGGTCTACTGAGCAGACAGACATGGAAAGCAGGACTGATCTTGAACACCCCACCCTTCAGGGTGCCCGCCCGCTCTGTAATGCAAGAAGAAAAGCAGGGCGGAAGGAAGGGAGGCCATTTGTCAGAACATTCTGGAATCCCTCTTCAATAAGTCTCCATTTGCCTCACAAAGGGACAGTGGAGCAACACAGCCGTCAGGTCGGAAATGCGGGAATGGTTCCCTGGCTTGGCCTGTAAGAGGAGATACTGGTCAGACGGATGGGTTCCTAGACCCCCTGGTGGTGCAAACGGTGAACATGCTTGGCTGCTAACCAAAAGGCTGGAGGTTCAAGTCCACTCTGAGGTGCCTTGGAAGAAAGGCCTGGCAATCTATTTCTGGAAAATCGGCCACTGAAATCCCTATGGAGCCCAGTTTTACTCTGACGCACACGGGGTTGCCAGCAGTCAGAACTGACTGACAGCAACTGGTTATACATTCCTAGTTCATGGATTCTACCCGTGGACTCCTGTCCAAATGAAGATCTTACTAGACCCCCTTCGTCGGGTGATCAGGGGCATCACAGAGATAGGACCATCCCAGCCCCCACCACTCCCCAGAGCAAGCACGGTCACCGTGAGGACGGCAGGGCAAGCTTGAACTATGTGCTTCGAGAGAGCGTTTCAGTAAAGGAGAGCGTGCCAGCCCACGTCCTAACTGCGCTGACAAGGCCACTCTGCCGTGGAGGTGTTAGTTTGCTATGCTCATCAGAAAGAACAAGTGGATCTCGTGACGGTCATCCCAAGTCAAACGGCCCACACCGGGTGTCATGGATTGAACTGTGTCCCCCAAAAATACATGTCAACTTGGTTAGGCCATGATTCCCAGTATCGTGTGGTTGCCCTCCATTTTGTGATTGTAATTTTTGTATGTGTTGTAAATCCTAATTTCTGCCTGTGGTTAATGGGGCAAAATTAGATTATGTTAAAGAGGATTTGGGTGGGATTGTAACACCCTTACTAAGGTCACATCCCTGATCCAAAGTAAAGTGAGTTTCCTGGGGGTGTGGCCTGCACCACCTTTTATCTTACAAGAGATGAAAGGGAAGTGAGCAGAGATTGGTGGACCTCATACCACCAAGAAAGCAGTACCAGGAGCAGAGCGCATCCTTTGGTCCTGGGGTTCCTGCGTGGAGAAACTCCTAGTCCAGGGGAAAACTGATGACAAGGACCTTCCCCCAAGGCCGACAGATAAAGCCTTCCCCTGGAGCTGGCGCCCTGAATTTGGATTTCTAGCCTCCTAGACTGTGAGAGAATAAACTTCTGTGTGTTAAAGCCGTCCACTTGTGGCATTTCTGTTATAGCAGCACTAGAGAACTAAGATACCAGGCCCCTCCAAAGTAAGGCCGGTGTAGATAAACTAGGTTTTTTTTCTATCCGAAACTTCCCAGAGGAATTATCATCCACAACTCTCCAGGCACAAATTGGGTCTTAGAGAGCATTCCGCAGAGAGAATTCAGGCTGACAGCCCTAGTCCCTGTGCTAGGAGCTGTCTGCACCTTACCTGTCATTACTGCAAATGGTAACAGAAAGGAGGGCCGTCCGCACCACTCAGGCGCTCGGAGGATACTCGGCAAACAGAAAGAATAAGGCCTGTGCAACAACTGTTATTCTTTTAGTTTCACTCTGATCAGATTCCTTCTGGTTGGAAAGCGCAAAAACGCTCTCTCCCTATTGTAAAATCAAACTGAGACCCGAAGAGTTATGTCAGAGCAGAGATCACACAGGTAGTGGTGGTAGAACGGGAGCCTAACCTAGGCCCTGGTCAGCCCACGAGATTATAATACCCCTTCAACACAGGGCTCCAAAAATTCTCAAACTTTAAAAAAGCCCAACTCCGTCTAAAATATTTATACATCTCACCCTGTTTGGAGCAAGGGAAATGAAGAAAACCACAGACGCAAGAAAGAGATTAGTCCAAAGGACTCATGGACCACAACTACCACGGCCTCCACCAGACCGTCCAGCACAAATTGATGGTGCCCAGCTACCACCACTGACTACTCTGACAGAGATCACAATAGAGGGACCTGGACAGAGATGGAGAAAAATGTAGAACAAAATTCTAACTCACAAAGACCAGACTTACTGGTCTGACAGAGATTGGAGAAACCCCGAGAGTATGGCCCCTGGACACCATTTTAGCTCAGTAATGAAGCCACTCCTGAGGTTCATCATTCAGCCAAAGATTAAATAAGCCCATAAAACAAACAATGCATGTAGCTCAGCCAAGTATACATGACTAAATGGGCACAGCAGCCCCGGGGCAAGGACAGAAGGCAGAACGGGACAGGAAAGCTGGTAATGGGGAACCCAAGGTCGAGAAGCGGGGAGTGTGGACACATTTTGGGGTTGGCAACCATTGTCACAAAAAATACGTGTATGAATTGTTTAATGAGAAGCTAATTTGCTCTGTAAAACCTTTATCTAAAGCACAATAAAAAAATAAATAAATATACACGTCGATAGTTTAGCAAAGGAGCCCTGGCTGCGCAATAGTCAAGTGCTCGACTGCTAACCAAAAGGTTGGTGGTTTGAACCTACCAGTGGCTCTGCAGGAGAAAAGACCTGTCAATCTGCTCCCCTAAAGATTACAGCCTAGAAAACCCTATGGGGAAGTTCTACTCTGTCACATGGGGTCACTATGAGTCAGAATCAACTCGATCGCACCTAGCAACATAGTTTAGCAACAGTGGTCTTCAAGGCTGCAGAAATATAAAACCCTCTAAGTTTCATCTGCCTTTGCCACTCGGTATAAGCGTGGTACAGGTGGCCCCTGTTCAGCACACAACCAAAAGCTATTCTCCAACCCCCACCTCCTTGCAAACCAGAACTGGAATTTTGCTTGGGGTGTCAAAATCACATTCCTGACTCCGGCAGCTAGAGGTGGCCGAGCCAAAGACTTTGGCCAGTAAGATACAGGTGGAATTTATGCTTCCAGCAAAGTGGAAAGCACCCCCACCCCCAGGAGGCTCTAGTCTCCCCGTCCTGCTGCCTGGAGGTGCAGCTGTCATCTTGCAGCATGAAGATGAAGGCCCCTGCTAAGGAAAATGGGACTTCTGTTGCTGGAGAGAAACCCCTAGACGTTTAAGCCACGATGCTAGGTGCTCTGTTACCTGCAGCCCAATGCCATCCTAGCAGATTCAAGTGCTGTCAAGTACCAGCACCCTGCTGAGAGGAGCAGCAGTGGGGTTGATGGCCCCCAGAACATCCCAAAGAGCCAATGGCTCAGAGCTTTCCCTCCCACAAGACATTTGTTGGGCTGGCACCCCTCTTCCCCAGGGTCAGTGTGGTGCTGAGACCCTTCATGTCAGAATCCCAGGGATCTTTAGAAACATCGATTTTAGGGTGCCACCTCAGCCCTGTTGTGTGTCACCAAGTTGATTCTGACCCATATACCAGAGTACAATCACCCCATAGGGTCTTCTAGGCTGTAATCTTTACAGGAGCTGATCGCCAGGTCTCTCTCCAGTGGATCGGATGGTGGGTTTGAACCGCCAACCTTCTGGTAGCAGCAGAGCGCTTAACTGTTGCTCCACCAGGACTCATCTCAGACCTACTCAATCAGAAATCTAAATGTTTGTCCTACTCCTGGGGTGACGTTCACGCCCCACATGATTTGGGGCTCTCAAGTGTGGCAGTAAGCAGCAAGTGGGTGTGCGGCCTCAGGGGCTCTGACACTGCACCCTGCTGCTTCCCCAGGAAGTCATCCCCCAGCTCCCCAGGCCAGGGCAGGACCCCCAGCGATCCGCCCTGCACTGCACTCCTCAGTTTCTAAGTACACAGCTTTTCACTCGGCGGATCCCGTCGGCCTCCCTCACTAGACGGGTGCTTGTCTACAGGGTCCCGCGGGGTGCCTGCCGCACAGTAGGTGCTCAGTGACTGGGTCAAAGGAATGTTAAAAAAAAAATAATAAAGAATGACAACAAAAGCCACCTCAAGGGGGTCCTCTGCACCCATGGTCGGGCCCCCGTCTTGTGGCCATGGAGGCCCGGCCGCCGCGGGTGCCGGTGCTCACCTGCCCGTCGTGCCTGCGCTTCTTCATGAACTGCGTGATGCGCATGCTGCCTGCCGACTTCCTCTTCAGAGAGAGCGGCGTGGCCGGGCTGGGCCCCACGGCGGGGGCGCTGCCACTGTCCTCCCGAGCGGCCGAGGGCACCGCAGTCACGTAGTTCCACTGGCAGGGCACGGGCAGGTGCTCCTGGTCGAAGCTCTTGAGCACCTGTGGGTGGACGTACCAGCACATCCTGAAGTCAGGCCGCTTCTCGTACACTGAGTTCTCGGAAATGATCCGCTTGAGCCTGGCCTTGGACGGAACAGCGGTGTCCTCGCCGGCGGTGGGGGTCTGCGGGCGGGAAGAGCCGGGGCTCGGGGGGCTGGCGGAGCTGCTCTCGGGGCTGCCAGCGTCCCTGGTGAGCAGGCCTTGGCGGCAGCACTCCTGAAACTCACGGATGATGACCTTGCTCCCGTTCACGTTGCCATGCAGCAGCGGGAGCAGCTGGGCGAGGACTGGCGGGAGAAGAGGGAGCACAACGGGTCGGAAACAAGCAAGGGCACCACAGACTGAAAAGTGAGCAGAGTCCCCGACACTATGGCCCCAAGTCACTCTTCAAACCTGGAAGCAAAACTGTCCCCCTTAATGGACCATAACTACCACAGCCTCCACCAGACTGAGTCCAGCACAACTAGATGGTGCCCGGCTACCACCGCTGACTGCTCGGACAGGGATCACAACAGGGGCTCCCAGACAGAGCTGGAGAAAAAAGTAGAATAAAATCCTAACTCACAAAAAAAGACCAGACTTACTGGTCTGACAGAGACTGGAGAAACCCTGACAGTACGGCCCCTTTGGACACCCTTTTAGCTCAGTAACGAAGTCACTCCTGAGGTTCACCCTTCAGCCAAAGATTAGATAGCCCCATAAAACAAAATGAGACTAAAGGGGCACACCAGCCCAGGGGCAAGGACTGTATATATTTTCACCAAAAAAAAAACGACAAAGTGAGCACAGCCGTCAATCTTTCAGCTGCGGGGCAGGTTGGAGGGCAGATGTGAGACGGTGTGCACGCAACCTGGTCCTAAAGAGATTCTGGGATGCACGAGCCTCACAAGGCAAGTTCAGCTCAGGCACTCAGGGAACGTGGCCTCGCCAGTTTTATGCCTGTATTTTCCCTTAGTACGTGGCTGTCATGCTCACATTCCGAGTATGATGGTTAACTTTATGTATCAGCGTGGCTGGGCTATGATTCCCCGTGGTCTGGCCGAACACTGGACCAGTCTCTGTTCCACAGTGTAATGCAATGCGGTATAATGCCTTCCACCTTCCAGTGTAATGTACTGTAATCAATCAGTTGAAAGGGGTGTTCCCTTAGGGCGTGGACTGCCTCCAGGCTATAGATTATTTTGGAGAACTTGCCTTCTCCCCACTCAGCATTCTCACCACCGCCTGACATGGGGATTTGGGGCCAGCCCCCGCAGGCGCTTGAGCCAACCCCTTGCAGTAAACATCTGTATGCACATGTGTCTCACTGGTTCTGTTTCTCTAGACGCCCTCCTCCTCCCTGGCCACCACTCCCCAGCTGTGGGATCCCCCTGGGTGGCACTCTGCCTGCGGCCTCACTGGGAAATGGGCTGGGTGAGCAGGGGTTGTCAGTGCCGCTGGCCTGTGTTGCTGTGGGAAGGGCAGTGTGAACGCAGCCGCAACCTTTCCCTGTGACCATGAGTGAGCCTCATGCTCAGGACCAGACGTGCTGGCCTGGCTTCTTGGATGGTCAAAAGTGGGGGCCGACTCCCTTGGTGGGTGCTTGACAGACCCCACAGCAGCCAGTGGCCTATGAGCACATCCTCACCACGTACGACGGGCACAGCAACATTCCCAGAAGACCATTCTCTGCTCTGTGCCAGCCCCATTCCTATAACTGTTCCCTGGGCTGGGGAGGAAAGGGGCCCCCTCATCACAGCACGAGAGGGTGCGTGCAGAACACCAGCCCTGCGTCAGCCGCGGGGAGTGACCTGCTGGCCGTGGGGGCTGACGTCACAAGTGACCTGCCGTCTCTTCTCTACGTAAAGCACCCGCCCCCTTCACCGATGCATGTAAGTGTGGCCCCCCCCGCCCGTGCGTGTAAAGCGCCCACCCCCGGCCCGTGTGTGTAAAGCGTGCCTTTCGCTGGCGACCCCAGACCCCGCCTCGGCAGTTATTTGTTGGATGGAGTTTTGACTTATCCAGCAGCTGCCTCACAGGCTGCCTGCCTTAGACGGGAGTGCCCCGGGAGCCCCCAGCCCCCCACGCCCGCGTGCAGCACTCACTCTCCTGGTCCCTCTTCTCCCTCCTGGAGGCCTTGGGCGTCTGCTCCTCCTCGGGGGGCGCCGTGTCCAGGAGGCAGGCCGTGAACTGCTGCAGCACCTTTAGGTCGGCGCCAGCGCAGCCATCCCTCTCGGCCGCCCAGACGCAGCCGATCTTCACGGGCTGGAGGACGCGGAACCGCTTCCCCTTGGCTAGAAGCTCGTCCCACTCCTTGGCCTTCAGCTTCTGGCGAACCTTGTGGTTCTCGGGGTCGGCACACTCCTTGCAAGGTAAGGTCAGAAGCTGATTTGTGATGCCCATGCCCCCTGACCTGGGCATCCTGCAGAGGCTCCAACTTCCCAGCCAGGGGGCAGGGGCTGTTCTCACAGAGGGGCCAGCGTACACTTCCATCCACCCCTCTGCTGTTTCTAGCGCACACACCCTCCCTAGCACCCACTGCCATATCCAGCATCTTTATAACCTCACCCAATGAGCCTCTGAACACCAGGCTGTGAATTTCCTGGTTAATGCAGTGGCTGCAGAGCTGTCAAATTGCCAGCCCCAAATCACACACCCAACTTGGCACCACAAAGCCGGGCCTCTTCCCACAGACACACGTCGACAGACACACGGGACCCGGTGGTGCTGAGACAAACACGACTGAGGCCCCGATGAGACCCCCGTCGGTCAGAAACGCACCATGACCATGCGCCCTTCAGGTCCGACTGTGAAATACGAACCAGACCTCCATCACAGCCCGCTCCCCATCTCCATGCCACCCAAACATCCAGTCGACAGGCCCCAGGAGCAGCTTACTTAGGAGCTCCCTGGCTCAACAGCATTTAGAGTGGTGGGGGCTGGAGGCATAGGGGAACCCTTCTGGGGAGACAGAAGGCTTCTACACCTTATTTTGGGTGGTGGTTTCGCCAATGTGGTCAATTGTCAAGGCTCATCAGACTGAGCACTTGAGGTCTGTGCTCCTCGTTGTATGCTAAGTATGCTTCCTGGAAGCTCTCTGGGTCACTGTCCCAGCTATGACGGCAATGACCCACAGAGGCATGTTCTGACCAGAGGCTCTGCCCACGCAGCTCCCCTCACTGGGGATTTTTCTCGCCTCTGCAGATTCTACCATCCTCCCAGGCAGACCCAAGTTCGGCTCAACCTCTCCCACAGATGAAGCTGTGTACGGAGGAGCCCTTCTAGGCTGAGGTGGGCTTGGGCTCGTCTTCCCGCCCCGTTCTGGCCCACACAAGCTCCTCTCTGAGCTGGTCACCCCCTCGCCCCTCACCTCGGTCACACCTTCGTCCTCGGACAGGTACCCGTGGGGCACAAAAAAGCCATCATCCTCATCTTCATCCTCGCCCACCTCGTCATCATCGTCCTTGAGGAGATAACACAGTTCGTAACATGCAGAAACAGAATACAGTCTTTGTTCGATATCCGAATCTACGACTGTCTCAGGGAGAAACGCCGCCTACCGCTCTGAAGGCTGTTTCTAGGGACACTCAGACGGCCAGCAGACACCTGCTGACAGAGGCTCTCTTGTTACAGCGGGGCGGGGGGCAGGCAGGTGTACAGCAAAAGGGGGCTGTGGGGCTGCTAGGGGACCACAGGGAACCCAAGGGCGCATGTGTGCCCCCTGAAGGGGACAGACGCTGCTCAGTTCCAGCCACCAGCCCGCTCTCGCAGATAAGCTTATCTGAGAGAAACTGGGAAGCCGGATTTTACATACCAGCTGGTGTTTTAAGACTTAACAGTGCGGATTGGACAGGACACATCTGTGGGCAAGCCAAGCGCTGAGACGCCCCCAGGTCTGTTCTCACCCCCTCACTGTGGGAGAGGGACTCCCCCGGTTCCTCCTCTTCCCACTCGTCATCACTGTCCACCTCATAGTCAAGGAGTTTCTGAAACGAGAAGCACACCGTCTCGTCACTGTTCTCAGGGCTGGCAGACAACGGCACGGAGAAAGGCTACAACACTTACAGAATCCAAGAGGCCGTGGGAAACAGACAAGGCTAGAAGGGAACGCGGGGGAGACAGCCGTACGCGCGTGCCGCCAGGACGCTTACCCGGTCCTGGGCCCAGGGGTTCCTCGGACGGATGACTGCTGTCTTCTTATTCCACGTGCCCCAGTACGCTGGTCGGTGGTTCTCAGAAAACTGCAGCAGCTTCATCCTGCCCAACGCCTTCCTTTCGGGAACGCCGTCAGCTTTGCCGCTCTCCACGATCACCACGTCGCTGAGGGAGAGAGCGCTGCCCTCAGCAACGTGTGTGCGCACCGCCCATGAGTCCTCCTGACGGAGGAGGCTGGGAGAGCTCTACAAGGACAAGTGAGCCAGTCCCACCACCTGACCCCACAGAAAGGTAAGGGACATTTCCCGAGGGACACGAACCAAGAAAGATGTGACATGGGAGGGAAAGGAGGAGGAAGGAAAGACAAGTGTCAAATTGCTGCTCAAGAGCACTGTCAGTAGTTGGCAGTTCAAACCCACCCAAAGGCACCTTGGAAGATAGATCTGACAATCTACTTCCGAAAGGTCACAGCCTTGAAAAACCCTATGGAGCGCAGTTCTACTCAGCACACACGGGATCACCGCGAGTCAGCACCAGTAACTGGTTGGTGTTTTGTATAGTAAGTGAAAAGCAAGAGCAGGGCAATGCCCTCTGTGGCGGCTGGCACTGAGATGAGAAGGCCCCTCTGCGGGGAGACCAGGGAGCTGGGACAGGCTGAGACTGTCCCCGTGCACACAAGGGGTTTCAGAGGCTTGTAGGACGTCAGAGCGGAGGGGCCTGAGTGGCACCGGAGCCCAGCGCCAAGGCCCAGGAGGGAGATGACTTACCCAGGCCCACAGCAAGGCAGTGGCAGACCAAGACCCAGGCCTCTTGCCCGGTTCCCAAGGCTGGTCCAGCGGCTCTCTGGCCTCCCCCATGGGAACAGGGCAGTCTCGCAGGCACTTGCCTGTTGAAGATGTCCGCATTTCGGTTACAAACAATGGTGGGCCCGGATTGGAGGGGCCGCCGGCCCTTCAGATCTTGCAGGAAGGAGAAGCTGCCACTCTGCTGCTGGAGAAGCTGGTCTAACTGGTCACAGAGGTCCTGATGGAAGGCCGTGCGGCACAGCGGGGCGAGAACCATGTGCTCTTTAATCTCAAACGGGGCAAACTTGCCACAGGAGCCGGCCAGGGTCTGAAATCAAGAGGAGATGTGGCGGACCCCGCTCAGCAATGCAGGGGATGGGCCGCTGGCACCCGCCACACTGGGGTGATGCTCAAAGCCACATGCTAAGTCAAGGGGCACACGCAGAAGGCTACATGCCGGTGAGGCCATTTACACAAGATTCTGGAAAAGGCGAAACTACAGGACAGAGGTCAGGTCAGCAGCTGCCAAGGCCAGGGGTGGGAGGAGGCGACTGATGACAGAGGAGCACAGAGAGCTGTCTGGGGAGACGGAAGGACTCTATGATCTTCATTATGGTGGTGGTTACGTGTGGAGGCCCTGGGTGGTGCAAACAGTTCAGGCACTCAGCTGCTAACCAAGGGTTAGCCGTTCGAGTCTATCCAGAGGCACCTTGGGAGAAAAGCCTAGCGATCTCCTCCCAAAAATCAAGTCAATGTAAACCTTACGCAGTTCTCAACAACAACAAGTAATTAAATAAATAAAAAATATTGCCACTGGTCTCTTTTAAAATTTGTGTAAGTCCTAAGAAGAGAATACAAAATAGTCAGTCAGTACTCCAAAAGTCATTCTTTTGTTTCTGGAAAAAAATTACTTTGACCCATAATGAATGCCAAATAAAAAAAAGCCCCATGAAGCACAACGGTCCCGTCCACAACTGATAATGAGGATGGTGCAGGACTGGGCAGCGTTGCATTCCGCTGCGCACGGGGTCACTGTGAGTTGGGGGCCGACTCTGTGGCAGCAGCAACAAACACAAATACATGTAGGGACGTGTATGCAGAGGGAAAAATGTAGAAGGATACCCTTCCATCTGGGAGAGATAGTAACCTCTGGAGAATGGGGTGGGGGGAGGAGGTCCTGAACTCCCCACGTGGATGCCAGGTGACGGACAGATGCCAGGTTGAGGAGCCAAAATCCTGGGCTAAACTCTACACTGTTGTTTCACGGCTAACACTGTTGCCCATCTTGAGTGTACATTTCCCAACAGTAAGAACTCGGTCTTTTTCTCTCACATCTTCCTACGAAGCTCCTAACACGAACCATTCATGAAGTAACTTCTAGACATCAGTCAATTTTACCGAAACGTGCCACCTTTTGCCTTTCCAGAACACGACGAAATGCCAGAATACTGAACTTCCAGGCCTCCACCAGAAACAGAAGCTCCCTGCGCACTGGGGGTCACCCGCTGATGTAAGGGAAGCCAGCTGGTCAGAGACTCCTTTCGTTTTTAAAAGCAAAGCCCACCAGCACAAGAGAGGAAGCCAGTTTCTCACCTTGGGGGCTTGTGGAGTCTTTGGCTTCTGGAAGAACCGCGTGATCTCAGCCTTCTCAGCTTTAATGCGCTGCAATTTAAGAGAAGGTGAGGAGGAAGAAGAAATCAAGAGAGTTGGTGTGGATGTGTTCGTGTCTTAAGACAGGCAAAGGTCTCCCGAAGCGAACCCCCAGCATTTTTCGGTCGCAAGCATTTGTTTTGACTTTAGCTCTCAAGGCTGGTAGACCGGCAGCTGGGTACCAGCTGGTCTCAGGTGTCAAAGAGGTGTGCTTGTTCTCATGGGCACAGCACAGGCTGTCGAGCCAGGAGGCACGTGACAGGTCAGCCTCGGGAACAAGCAACAAGAGCCACCTGCAGACAGCCACGCGTGGGTCCCAACACGTGGGGCCAGGGACAGCAGCTGAGGCACCGCACCCCGCTCAGGACAGCCCCCGGATCTACGACGGGGAGGCCCGATATCAGACGGGACACACAAGTCCCCTGAGAAGATGTTACCTTCTCTTCTTCTTTTAACCGTTTCTCCTCCTCTTTTTTCCTTTTCTCTTCGAGTTTAGCCCTGTGAGACACGGAATTAAATGTTAGCTAACCAGTACCTAAGGAGCCCTGGTGACACAACAGTTAAGTGCTCGGCTGCTAACTGAAAGGTCAGTGGCTCGAACCTACCAGCGGCTCCTCGAGAGAAAGACCTGGTGATCTGCTTCCGCAAAGGAAACCCTATGGGGCGGTTCTACTCTGTCTCATGGGGCCGCCATGTGTTGAATTCGACTTGACACCACCCCACAACAACCAGTCCCCAACGTGCAGAGACAAAACTGCGCTCCTGAGCGGAAACACCCATCAGCAGCGGGCGAGAAGTCTGCAGGGCCCCCCCGGGACAGACACGAGAGGCCCAGCGCGCGGCAGAGCACGAAGCTCCCTTTCATCCTCTCATGCCAGCAACTCCATGCTTGACACGCGCAAGAAGCAAAAGGGGCTTCAAGGAGCGCCTGGCCTTCTAACCGCCCCCGCACCGGCCGGCCCCAGGAAGTGAGGCTGTGGCTCTGCGCGTCCCCAGCTCACAGGAGAAGACACTCACTCGAGCGCCTCCTGCCTCTCCTTGCGCCGCTCCTCCTTGAGCCTCTGCTTCTCCGCCTTCTCCTTCTCGTCCTTTTCCCTTTTCTCCCGCCTCTCCTTCTCCTTCAGCTCCTTCTCCTCCTCCTTCTTCCTTCTGGCCTCCTCCTTGGCCCGCTTGGCCTCCTCTTTCAATTTCTCCTTTTCTTCCTTTTCTGCTTGTAACCTCAGTTGCTTGCCCAAGCGCTCTTTGTCCTACAGCCAAAAGACAAGTCAACAGATGTGTCCCCTACAGATCTCCCGGGGAGGGTCAGGTTAGGGTACGGAGGCGGCTGTGCTTAAGTGGAAGGGAAGGAACCGGGGCCGAGCGACAGGAGGAGCCTCATGTCAGAGGCTGACACAGAAGTGCTTTTTCATCCCTTGCAAAGATTACCTTCTGTTACGTGGAAAATGATGAGAATTACCTGTTTGTCACAGTATTTTGTGGGCAATTCAAAATCAGATTAATTTAAAATAGCCAATCTTTGAACCTGGGGCGAGCTTATTCTTTTTTTTTTAATTAAAAAAAATAGGGGGGGAGGTGTCTGCCTCTGGGTTGTCTATGCAGTCTTCTCTGTTAGGTTTAAACTGCATTTATTTAACCAGAAAGCTACACTCAGCACATGAGTGGTAAAGAGAAACGAAGTCCCGATGCATGCCACAACCCGGATGAACCCTGAAAACACTAAGCTGAGCAAGATAAGTCAGTCACAAAAGAACAAAGATTCTATGATCCCACTTATATGAAAAAGGCAAATGTAGAGACTAAAGCTTAACTGTGGTTACCAGGGGCAGGAGGGCGGGGGGAAAAGGGGAGTCATTGCTTGGAGGGCACTGAGTTTCTGTGAATGGCAGTGGGAACAGCTTGGAAAAGGGTAGAGGTGATGGCTGACAACATGATGGACATAATCAATGTCACTGACTTGTACGTGTGAAAACTGTTGAATCAGCAAATGCTTGGTTACAGATATTTTTACCACAATTTAAAAAAAAATAGATAGGAACAGGCATGGGGAGAAAAAAAGCAAGCAAGTTATGGTCTAATAATCAAAAACACCTACAGGTTTTGCCTCGGCTACCTTTCAAACAAAAACTCCCCACCCCACCCCAAAAATATCAGATTACAGGATCTATTCTCTTTCTTTTGAAATAGAAGACCGGGGTGAGGCAAGGACAGGGAACCTGCTGGGTAAGTCGTAAAACTGCAGGGGAATTAATGAGAAAACATAAACAGAGGAGAAAAAGTCTTTAAAACTACTTCTCAGGATGTAAAGGTGAAGTATGAAGTGAGAGAGGACAAACGAAGCGTCATCTCTACGACTACAGTACTATCACTTCACTACTGAAGCGCCATCTCT